TAAACACTAATTAATGAATTAAGTTTTTTCGGTGAAATTTGACTGGAGTAACCAAAATTGATAAAAATTGCATAGTTAAGATACTAAATTAACACTTTTAAAAGTCGTTGACTGCAATTAACAGGACCCCTATAGTCACAGGACCAAAATTGAAATTTATTTATATATAAATATATTAGATACATAATCTGTTAACTGCATATACATAATTTGGGCATAGTGTGATAGGGTCGTTATATCGTGGACCGCGGTGCACGTGTACCGCGGTCAAAACGGCACCGTTTCTTTAAGTAAAGAAACGGCGCGCCGTTAGTGTTAACGGAGCGGACGTTTTTTTGTATGTTAATTACCAACTGACACTACAGTGTATCTAAACTAACAGTACAGTGTATCTAAACCGACACTGCCTCACGTATTATTTTTATATTATCAAATGAAATGAAATGAAATTGCAGTTATATCAAAATGATACTGTAGTTGTGGTGAAATGAAACTGCAGTGTATATAAAATGAAACTGAACAACATTTCACATATTTGAATGTATATTGTAAAATGAAGCTGTAATTATATCAAAATGATCTAGTTGTGTTGAACTGAAATTGCAGTGTATACAAACTGAAACTGAATAACAGAGTTACTTCCCGTACTTTAATGCGCGGTGCATAACCAATTATCTCAAATTGATGGAATCGTCACTTGTGAGAATCGAACCTGGGTTATCCTAAAATTCTCCCGCACAAAGAGAGCTCATTTGCCACTTGAGCTACCCTGTTGGGTTCTTCGTTAATTTTTGTCAGTTCACCGTTAACTTACTCATTGATTTCAATAAGAAAGGTCTTAGGTTCGAACCCCATCCCAATCAAAGTTGGCATAATTAGTACTCTATTTTACTCTTATTAGTATAGTAGAGATATAATAATTTAGTAGCTACAACAAAAAAATAATAAATATGCATTTCTTTAATTTAGAATTATGTGTCTACCATGCCTTTATTCAAAAAAATTATTCATTATCAATAAATTAAATAAGAAATAATTTCATTAGTTATATTGTCTTTATTTTTCTCCAATATAAAAATTCTTTACATTCAAATTCATCAATTGATTATGATCGCTATATTGTCCCTACAATGTCTTTATCAAAAAAAAATTATTCATTATCAATAAATTAATTAAGAGAAATGATTTCATTAGTTATATTGTCTTTATTTTTCTCCAATGTAAAAATTCTTTACATTCAAATTCATCAATTAATTATATTCACTACATCGTCTACTATTTTTTTGTGCACTATTTTTTTAAATTAAATATCAAAGTTATAATACAAAATAATGCCATATATTTATTTACCAAGTATTTTATTAATACCATGAAAAAATTAAAAAAAAAATATAATTAAACCAACCATATTAACAACTTGATGGATCTGTTGACAAAGAGAGTATTCAAATCACACAACAAATTGAAGTGAGAAACTATCTCAACGGTTGGTAAAAAGATATTTGAAAAAATTAAGGCTTGGAACAAATTGTTGCTTCAAATTGTTGAATAACCAAACACTTTTTTTAGCATTTTGATCTTTGGGTTACATCATATTTACCAATCGTCCAATATCTTTGGGTTACATTATAATTAAAATTTTTAAATTTTTACTACTTCATCTAAATTCTTTAAATTAGGAGTTTCTTTATCTATAATAATTTATTCAACAACAATGGTTGAACTAAATGAACACTGAGCAAAACACCTAAAGGACTGGTATCGTTGATTCATTCATTGATCTTGTATATATAATAAGTGCTTATTTGTCTATATTTTTCATCTTTTCACTAAGTCATTTTGCTTATAGATCATTCCAAATTTCATGAGATTATGATTAAATTGTGTTATTTTGTAAAGAGTTTTGTTTGGAAGCAAAAATGAGTATTTTCAGGCATTTTGGTGGACATTGGAGTCAAATGGAGCATTTTGGATGCATTAGGAGTCCATGGGAGCCAATGAGAAGTTAAGAGGATGGACAAATACTTCCAAGAGAGCCTAAGAATGGTGTATTCAATGGTCTTAGTCATTTGGGCAAATCAAAACAAAAGAGGAGCAAAAGATCAAGACATTGTAATTTTCGCTTATTTCGGACACTGTTCGATTTTTTGAACATATCTCGACCTAGGAATGTCCAAATGAAGTGATTCTTGCACCATTGGAAAGCCAACTTAAAGGGATACAACTTTATTGAAGACCACAAGTGCCAATAAAATGGTTTTAGAGGTGAAACATAGCCTAGAAGTTAAGACAAGTGCATAGAATTCTGTTTTCAGGAGTCTCGTACTGCCTCGCGTACGCCCGTCCCTCAGGGCGTACGTTAATTTTGTCCCAAATCCAGTTCTCACTGGAATGTTCACAAAAATCAGATGCCCTTGCGTACGCCCATCCATCAGGCCATCCAAGATCTCAAAAAGGAAGCAGGTGGCGTACCCCGGACGCCCGTCCCTGAAGGCGTCTCTCTGTGCTCTGTTCACTATTTAGGCGCGGATTCACTCATTTCTCTACGGTTTTGGACATTGTTCCAACCCTAGACATTTCCTTTCACTTCCTTTCATATTTTAGTGTTAGATTAGGCTTAGATTTAGGTTCATTAACATATTTCAAGCTTGTAATCAGGGATTCAACACTTGGATTTCAAGATTTACCATCAATTTCTTAGTGAAGTTTTCTTTTCCTTATCTCTTTCTTTTGCAAGATTCATGTTTATTACTTATGTTTTTGTGTGTCTTTATGCTATTTAATCATGAGTAGTTAGTTTATGGACTTGAGTTAGGGTTGTATTACTTATCTTGATGTTTAGTTTGTGATTATTGCATAAAGGGAATTTTTTTTTTCTACCTAGGGTTCTTGAGTTTATGAAGGATTTGTGTTTGTATTTTGTTAATGCTTGGTGTACAACATTCATTAACATGTTTGGGAGGATTCTTGGCCTTAATGAGAGTTGGGTAAAGATTCCAAGTCACTCCTTGATGTCCTTGCATAAACTCGATTTTTCCTATGAAAATGGGGGAAATTGGGGGGTTTTTTGATACTTTGTGTTCTTGAAGAACTTGGAGTTGATTCACCACGAGAGTGGGGCAATTCCTTGTTATAATCCTTGTTAATTTGCTCACGTGAGTGACGTATAGACTATGATTCTTACGTGCATCCCCTTAATTCCTTGGTTGTGTGATTTCCCCAATCCTTAGATTGTGTTATGCATCTAGAAGATAATGCTCCCTAGCTTGAGTCCTATTTCTTTGTTTAGTGTTTATATCTTGTTAATATGTGTTTGTGTTAGTTTGTTTAGTTATCGTAACCTTGAAACTTGTTGTTATTTCCTTAGCTTCTTGTTGATTTCCTTATGCTAGTGCCTAGTTCCTTGTGATTGCATATTACGTGCCATAAATCCCAATCCCCTGAGGATGACATTTCACACCCGTATACTTACCATCACTCATTTTTGTTACAATCAATATATGTGCATTCATTAAATATATTAGAACCCTTTGCAACAAAAATACTTGGTTACTACTTTAAAAAAATTTAGTAACAATTATAATGAATCTCCTATACTACATTGTATTCATATACTATGAGTTACATATTTAAATAAACAAATTTGACATTAAATTACTTATGTATGAACTTCTCATATATAATCTTGCATTGATATACTTTCAAATATTTATTTAATTATAAACATTGGGCATTAACTCATTCGCGCAATGCGCGTATAAAACTAACAACCGTTATGCTATGGACCGGTGTCCAGCATGCATTGTGGACACGGTAACGGTGTCGTTAGTGGCACCGTTATCTTCCACCATTTTTTAAAAAAAATTTCAAACCGCTTTGTTATAGGAGCATATGTTCATAATTTTATTACTATATGTTCATAATTGTAAGTTCATGATGTCAGAGCTCTGTGTTCATAATTTCATAACTGTACATTCATAATTGCATAATTGTACATTCATAATTGCATAACTGTACATTCATACTTCCATAACTGTACATTCATAATTCCGTAACTTTACATTCATAATTCAATAACTGTAAATTCATAATTTTCGAAGCTCTATGTTCACAATTTTAGAGCTCTATGTTCATAATTTTATCACTATATGTTCATAATTGTAAGTTCATAATGTCAGAGCTCTGTGTTCATAATTCCATAACTTACATTCATAATTTCATAACTGTGCATTTATAATTCCATAACTATACATTCATAACTCCACAAACGAATAACGCCGTTAACGCCGAGACAAAATCAAAATTATTTTTTTAAAACTGGAATACCGCGTTTTCCCTAAAAACGACGTGGTTTTGGACTCGTGTCCACAATGCATTGTGGACACGAGTCCACAGCATAATTTGCGTAAAACTAGTAACTATTGATAAACCAATAATTATGCTGTGCAATAGTGTGCACCATGCATGGGGTGTACACGGTTGCAAAACGACGTCGTTTTGACTAAAAACGCGCGTCCCATTTAAAAAAAAAAATCAGTTTCGATTCCCCTCAACAGCATTATTGTAGATATATAGTTAAGAATTATTGTGGATATATAGTTATGAATTTGTGGATATATAGTTATGAATTTATGGATATTTAGTTCATTCATTGTGGATATTTAGTTCATCCATTCTGGATTTTGGGTTATTCATTCACTATGGATATATAGTTATGAATTTGTGGATATATAGTTATGAACTTGTGGATATATAATTCAAATTATACAAAAAAAAAAAAAATACTATTGCAAAAAATTGAACCTAATTTGTTTTTAAAATGAAACGCGCGTGTTTAGTCAAAAGGACGTCGTTTTTTGCAACCATGTGCACCATGGTGCACACGGTTGAACAGCATAATTTGCTATTGATAAACTTCACCAGGTCTATTGGACAGCACTTTATTGGGCCCAAACCAAATAAACTTTTGAATCTAAAACGAAAAGGCCCAAATACGTCCTTCCTTATCCAGAGAGAGTGCAAAATAATCTGCGGCTCCATGAAGCTCTCACAGTGCGCAAAAATCCTCCATGAATCTTCTCAAGCTTCAAATTCACCACCATCTTACCAAACCTTCTCGACTTTCCAGAACCGTCCTTCCTTCCCTCTCCTCCGCTTTCTGTCCGCATCGCTTTCCCTATCTCTCTTCTGGTTCACCAACATCCCTTTCTTGCGATTTCACCGATTCCAGAAATGGACATATCAGGGCATCAACTACCCAGACCCCAACGTGGAGCAGCAAAGAAGAAGAAAGCTCGGATGAGAGATATGAGTACTTGGCGAAAGATGGGGAGGTTTTTCAGAACACCCTGAGGCTTGTGGAGACTGCTATGTTTGCTGCTGTTTCTGGGTTAGCCTATCTCTTGAGCAATTCTCTTGCAATTGAGGTATAATTTCTGGTTAGTTATTGTTGGTTGTTCAATATCTGATGTGGGGTTTATATGGGTTTTCCTTTTTTTTATTCTTTTTAAACTTTATGCTTGCATGTTTATAGGTAAGGTAGTACATTATTGTTTCTGAAAATGTTATTTTATTTTATTTTATTTTATTTTATTTATTTCATTGTTTAATCTTATTCTAGCTAAGGGAGTTAAGTAAGGTGTTAATTGGCTACATAGGAACATGGCTTTGTCAAGATTACAGCTTTGCACTTTTGGTTAATAGCAAGTGCCATTTCTTAGGTTAGTTTTATTTTTTACTTGTTGATCTTAATGAGACATGCAAGTGGTTTATCATTTCATCCTTGCTTGAACATGTTGTGTGGCCTTGTTTACATAAGAAGCTATGCTAGTAGAATGGAGTTGAAATAACTCAACTTAGCAAGCACTTGTTGCCCTAATGTTAGTTTAGGACTTTTCTAGGTTATCACATAATAGGAGGATGCAAAATTGCAGATATTAGTTTCTATTTAAACATGCAATAGGAGGTTAGCGACCTAATCATCTCGGTGTGGATTGTGGAGATTATGTGAATTGGGAAAATTGATAGTGCTCTAAAGCTCTTTTGTTAGCAAAATCTTGGATTGAGGTTTATGGTCTGGTCTGGTCTGGTCTGAGGGTTATGATGGAATCTTGAGCAGCACTGGAGATCATCTTGAAGTGATCAACTATTGTTGTCATTAAGTTCTATTGCCTCTAGCTATTCTACTTCTTTGGTCAACAAGATATGCAGAACTTAAGGGCACAGTAAAACACTTTTTTTTTCTTTTTTTTATTGACTGAATGGCAGAACCTCATTAATAATGGAAACGATTTAGTCCAAAGTTATCTTCAACACATAATTTCTTAGAAAGACAGGGAAGACATATTGTTATTAGAAATATGGGAAAGACATAGGAAAATGTTGATCTACAGCTTTACTTAAAATTAAGAGCGTATTGGCATTACCTTGTTGAGAGAAGAAGAGTGAAACACTAAGCTAGCATGATTAGTGTATGCAGTATGCATGAATGAGGTACTGGAGCCTAGAAACAAATATAGCATCACCTAATTTAATTCCGAGATATTCCCCCTTTCCTTTCTTTTCTACCTTAAACAAGCACATTTTTAGTCCTTCTGTGGCAACCTTGTTCACATAACAGTATGTTCCTCTCTCTCTCTCTCTCTCCCCCCCCTCCCTTTTTTTTTTTGAGTATTATTGACTCTATTACAATATAGTATCTGTCCTTACATACTTTCTCAACCTATTGAAGCACAAAGAGTCAATGCCCCCACTGGGGTTCTAACCTGTGACCTCCCATTTGGGAGAGCCACAGAGATGCCATTGATTTAATTGCTTACATTCTTACCATGTTATTTTTTTCACAGAATTACTTTGGGTGTTTCTTTGCACTTCCCATAGTAATATCCTCAATAAGATGGGGTGTTGTGGCTGGAAGAAAAACAATGGTTTGTCTCCACTCTTATAATGCATTCTGTTCATGCAGTTTTTGTTTTTAATCTATATGTATGGACTAAATATGATATAATTTTTTCATCTTCTTAGGTGGCAACCGTTGTGCTACTGTTTGTCCTGTCTGGTCCAGTGAAAGCAGTTAACTATATGGTGAGCAATGATAATAGAACTATGAAGATGTGTATGTAGTGAAATTTCCAGACTCTGCAATTCCGTTATCTTTTCTTAGTTATGTTGGCTATACAGCTTGGTGCAGGTCTTATATTTGTATACAATTCACTATACATTTGCTGAATGATATGTTCGGGTCACTGATTTATTTTCTTCCCCCCATTCCCCTATCCAGCTAATGCATGGGTTACTTGGTTTTACCATGGGTTCTTTATGGAGGTATGCAATCATAGCCTTGATTTCTAAATGTTTTGATGTTTTTTATTTTGACGATTCTATGTAGCCTTGATATTCTATTCATTATACTGGACTTGATTCTATTCTTCCCCGGTGAAATTTTACTGATTCCTTAGATAATGTTGTTTCCATTGTAATCTCGTCAGGTTGCGCGCTAGTTGGACGCGATCAATCTTCTTGTGTGCACTTGTAGTGTTTCCTTTCCACTCTCTTCCCTTCTTTAAAATCTGTCATTTCTGTTCATCGTGTGATTTGTGATGACTGGAGCCTATTTGTTTTGCAGGCTCGGGCAATTGGTGCTGTAGGGTATGTGCTATTAACCTCATTTTTAATAGGAGAAAACATACTCCAGTTGGTAAATTGTGATCTTTAAAGCTCCCTTTTTCTCTCTGTTTTTCTTTTTGTTTCTTTCTCAATGTTCAGTGGTTTCACTTGTGTTGTTCATTGTCTGGGCTTTGTAGATTACCATAAATATCCATGCTTCCCTCTCATATGTGCTCACATCCATGGGCAGTAATTCAATTCCAACAATGAATGTCATATACACTATTTTCGGGACTCTGGTACGCATGATTCCTCTTTACAAGTTATTCCTGTTCTACTCATCATAGAAGCATACGCCTCACCTAACTCGCTCGTCTATTTGCAGCTTGTTATCAACTCTGCTTTCTTCGTGTTATTGCTACACATTCTGTACGCGATCTTCTTTGCCAAGTTTAGGATGAAGGCTTCATTGAGACTGCCAAAATGGGTGGATTTGGCAATATAACAGGGAACCCAAATATTTTCTTTTCATTTTGCACAATTGATAGATTAGAGAGATTCATATGCACAAAACTACCAAGAAGGCCATATTTCTTTGGTCAATTTTTTTTTTTTTTATTACTGTAATTACTAAAATGCAAGTGTACACGATCTTGAAGCCAGGGCATCAAATTATCCTTGATCACTTGTGCAGTTATGTACTATACCAATCTTTGCAATGTGAATTTAGTTAAAAATGCAATTTTTTGCAGTTTTTCTATTACTATAGCCAACCCAATGCAATTAAACAGGAAAATGTTCAAGCCATCATCAAGATTCCATCCACTCGTGAGGATATACAAACTATTAACTCTCATTTCGGGCGATTACTTACAAGTTACAACCCAATACTGATGGGGTTTTATTCAGGAGGCAGAGGTAAAAAAAACATACATAAGCTTAATAAGATTATTCATCTGTTAGCCATGATACACAGTATGAATTGCAGACTAGAGTATCATCATGTATGAATCACAAGGTAATATTCTTGTCTATGAAAAAAAACAGAACCGGAGAGACTTACAAGCTTCAGGAGAGGCTACTGTAATGTCGATTCAAGATCCACTCTGCCTTTCAATCCAAAGAAACCTAAAAGAGAAGAGGCTTTCTGTGTAAACCATAGCATCCCCGAGGTTCACATCGTATGAAGACAATGATGGAGGGAGCGGGATTTCCACCTCCCGAAAACTTCTGGTAATCCTATCATACAATGGAACAATTGCAGAATCTGCAGAGCGCCTCTGGGTTGCCAGCACGATCTCGCCTGAATAGGGGATCGAACCAGTTAAATACGCTCCCATATAGTAAACAGGCAGATTTATGATGTCTCCAACCCAATTCCCACTCTCATACTCTTTCAATATCCAAAGATCTATCCTGCAGGAGGCAAATGGGAGAACATCTCCAACTCCTCCAAGGCATACCACTGCTAAGCAGCCATCAATCTCGCGCAGATAAAAATGCCTTCCACTCCCCCTGGAAGCCTGTAACTCGACTGGGAGCTCCATGGTTGAAAAACTCTCTGTTTCCAGGTTGAAACTCGCAATCTTTTTGACCTTCCATAAGACCCAATGCATCACACCGGCAATACAAACGCAGTCCTGGTAGCCTATGCTGCAAAACTCATTCTTAATATTAAATGGCATTAGGGAATTAACCTTTTTCCATTCACCGATACCACTCATCCGTATGGTGAGAATATGGCATTCATAACCATCCGAGTTGTTAATGCTGAGCACCTTAAATTCCTCCCTGTTTCGACTAAACCCTAAAGCGTATAAACAGAGATTGATATCCCGAGTGAGAGTATTCAGAGGAATTTCCAGAATTTGTCGAGTGCTAGGGTTAATGAGATACCGGAAATTTTCGCGACGGATGAACCTTTCTTGGTCGGGATGCCAGGTGACTCCTTTTATGCGGCCGGGTGAAGCCTGCTGGAACAGGCAGTTCGAGAAGCAGAAGAGGCAGGCGGGTTCGCCGCCGCCGGAATGGGTGTCGCCGGACAAGATAGTGAGCGTTAATTTTTTAACACTGTAAGCGGTGATGAGGAAGTGGTGGTGGAGGACATTGCGGAGGGAGCGGGAGAAGTGAGGCCCCACCAAAGACGTCTCGCCGATAAGGCTACGCCAGAGCTTGGAGACTGACCGGAAACGGAGGAGAGACTTCACCGGCAGCCTGGAGAAAATTTCAAGAAGGATTTCCAACGGCAGATCATCGCCCACCGCCGCCGGCACGGCCGCGATTTTAGTGGAGGTTGGACCGGAGCTCGTCCTAGCGAGCTTCGCCGCTAATTGCTGAGGGATCGACGGCGAATCCGAAGTCATGGCGGCGCGAGTTGATTGTTGAGTGGAATTTTTTGTGTTAACAGGTAATCCTTTTAATAGGCATATACTGAGGTTGTACTTGACAGTTGAAACTTATAACTGGAAAAAATCAGCAAAAAGTTTTAAGGGAAAATAACATTTTTTCCTCCGAGTTATATACTTACAGCATTTTTTTACCTGAATTATTTTAAGTGTTTGTTTCTTTTTCTGAATTGTTAAATGAACATATTTACCCTTAAAATAAATATTTCATTTATTTTTCTTCTCCAACAAATTATGACCATAATTTTGTTCAAACCAAACAGACATTATAGCAACCAAATCGAAATATTCTAATTACAATTTAAAATCGAAACCCGATATTTAAAGTTTATTAAAATCGCGAACCGGGACGGCTGGTTCATGTTTGGAACTGGAAAAAAATACATTTATTGTTGAATTTAGACTATTCTAAAATTAAAAAAAAAAAAAACATTAAAATAAAGAAAGTTCAAAATCGCGAACCGGATCCGGAACCGCCGGTTCACAGTTCAGGATCCAGTTTTTTTAATTCATAATTTGAATCCTAACCGGAAACTTTTAATTCGATTGCTATAGTGTTCGGTTCAATTCGAATCGAACCGTGGTCATCCCTACGTATACGCAATTATTTGTTGGAGAAGAAAAATAAATAAAATGTTTATTTTAAAGATAGAAGTGTCAATTTAATATATCAGGGGAAAAATCGTCACTTTTAAAATAATTGAGGGGGCTAATGTGCTTACCTGAATAATTCAGAAGGAAAAAGTGCTATAAGTATATAATTCAGGGGGAAAAAGTGTCATTTTTCCAAGTTTTAATTGAAACTTGGCTAAGGAGTAAGGGCATCCTCAATAGTGGAGATTTTAGTGTGATTTGTTGAGGAGGTTTTGTAGATGTGATTAGAAAAGAGAATATAGTAAAACAAAAAAGAGAAAAAAAAAAGAAAAAAAAACAAAGGTTGATTTCTATTTTTTTTTTTTTAAAGAGTTAAAGATTGTCATAAACGCGCCCAATGCACGCGCCAACTGGGCGGCATTTTGACCTTCACGCGAGCCATGCGGCATTGGGTTTAAAGTCAGTGGGTCTCACTTTTTCTGAAAAACCTTCAAATTTTGAGAAGCACTTAACCAAGTCAAATTGGACTTACTTGAACTATTTTACTGGTTTAGGGGGACTTGAATGGAGCTTTTTTCACTTAGGGCAACTCCAACCCGATTCACACAAAAACACCAAATTTCACCACCAAATGTCACATCATAAGAAATATTCTTAGCATATTCTCACACCAAATTTTATTCATCTCCAACCCATTTACACCAAAACACCAAATTTTTATACTAAAATAATTTGATTTCTCAATTATTAGTTTGAATATAATTAGTTTAATATAATTTAGTTCGAACTAAATTAGTTTAATATAAAATATAACTTATGATGTAAATAATAATTTTTATTAATATTAATTTTTTTATAACATTAATTATTTTAAAAAATCAAATTTAACAATATTATTAAAAATTTAATTTATTCCAATAATAACATAGCATATAGCATCTAGTACATTTAATTATCGGAATTACTATATCGTTCCCACAAATGCTTAATCAATGCATTACATAGTGCATAATGAGATTCTTTATCTTTAATTTGTCTATGCCAAGCAAGAAATTCTTGAAATATAATATTTTCATCTCTAGCAATATCAACTTCAGGAGCCGGTGCTTCCTCCCAACCTTGTATATCTGCTTGCTCATCACATTCATCCTCAATGATCATATTGTGCATTATAATGCACTATGACATTGTATCATGCAATACACATTTATCCCAAAAATGTGTCGGTCCCTTGACTATTGCAAATCGTGATTGGAGAACTCCAAATGCACGTTCTACGTCTTTTCTACACGATTCTTTCATCATCCCAAATAACTTCTTTTTTGGCCCTCGAGGTTCATGAATTGTTTGTACCAATATGGATCATTTTGGATATATACCATCGGCTAAATAATATCATGTGTTGTACCCCTGTCCTTGAATAACATAATGATAAGGAAGTGCTACACCGTTTGCAAGATTTGCAAACAAATGAGATGCCTCCAAGACATTAATGTCATTATTAGACCCGACATGCCAAAATGTGCATGCCAAATTCACAAATCATAATCAGCTACAACTTCAAGAATAATAGTTGGTTCTCTACTCCGCCTAGCATATTGTCCAGCCCAGCCAGTTGGACAATTTTTCCAAGTCCAGTGCATGTAATCTAAACTCCAAGCTTCCATGGAAAACCACGTTTTTCCCCAATTTGAAGCAACCGTGCAACATCATTAGCATTAGGTGCTCTTTGATGTCGCTCCCCAAATACCTCTACAATTGCTCGAATCTCTTCAAACTTTCAATTGCAGTTGATTCTCCAATCTGGATATATTCATCTGCTGCATCTGCTGGTATTCCGTACGCCAAAATTTGAAACGCCGTTGTAACTTTTTGTAAAGTAGATAAGCCCAGTCTACCAATTCTATCCTTCCATTGCACAAAATAGTTGTCATGGCCTTTAGCAGCATTGGCAATTCGTAGGAACAAATTTCGACTCATTCGAAATCGTCTACGAAACATTGCTTCAGAATATTTTGGATACTCTGAAAAATAATCATTCCATAATCTTCGATCTGCTTCTTCACGATCACGATGAATCACTCTATGACCAAAAGTCGAACCTCCATATCTTGGGGTTGATTATCCATATTTTCCATGTAGGAAGCAATGACAAGGTTGTGGCTAGTATATGCATTGGTTAATAATAGTGTTTGTGCTAGTATTGCACTTGCGAGATTGTGCTCAGAATCCGATGATGATGATGAGGATGATGAAGATGATGATGATGATGAAGAAAATGGCATAGGACGTTTTTCAGTGTTGGAATTCGTATTTGAATTCGTATGTTTAGAGATAGATGATAAGGGGATGAATGCTCAATTTGTTGGTGATGCAGAACGTTTTTATAGGGATGATCTGAATTGTTTAGAGCTGTTAGATTAGATCGTGAAGATCACATCCGTTCATTGGTATGCTTGTCTTTTTCCACACATATTCTAATAAAAGATATCACATGCATCTTTGAATTAGCTTTTATCTGAATTGTTTAGAACCGTTAGATTAGATCACGAAGATCACATCCGTTCATTGGTATGCTTGTCCTTTTCCACACATATTCCAATAAAAGATATCACATGCATCTTTGAATTAGCTTTTATCTGAATTGTTTAGAACCGTTAGATTAGATCGCGAAGATCACATCCGTTCATTAGTATGCTTGACCTTTTCCACACATATTCCAATAAAAGATATCACGTGTATCATTGAATCAGCTTTTATCTTAATTGTTTAGACGCAAATATCACATCCGTTCATTGGTATGCTTGTATCTCTATAAATACTACAATTCGATTTTAGAAGTAACACCATATATCTTTTGAATATCAAAATCTCTTTACATTTCTTTCTAGTTTAACAGTCATTGAAATATGTCAAAACCCTCACGTTCAATCCGAACTTCTTCATACTCAAATGAAGAAGATAAACTCCTTTGTACTATATTTGTGGATATTGCCCAAGATCCTAAAAAGGACAATGATCGCTCTGGAACAGATTTATGGAACACATTGCACAAGAATATAATCAAATGCTACCGGCACACATTTGTACTGATCGAACTTCAAGATCGCTGTATAGTCGTTGGGCAAATATATCAACATCGGTCAGCAAACTAAGAGGATGCATTCAACAGATAGAGAACATGAACCCAAGTGGTGCATCTGAACAAGATATTGTGAGTTTGTAAATTTGTGTTATTTAGTTTTATCTTATTTTTTGTTTTAATTGCGTTGTTTAATTTGAATTATATTTTATTTATAACAGCTTGATAGAGCAAAGGAGTTAGTAAAGCAAGAGCTCAAATTCAAAAGCGGATTTAAGTTTGATCATGTATGGCCTATTGTCAAAGACATGCAGAAATTTTGCAGAACTGGGAGCTTGCTAAATGTTGGAGGTCGAAAAAGAACTCCGGAAGGATCACAATCACAATCTTTCGGAACCGATAAGTCAATAGGATCTTCCTCATTTCCTGTTGATTTCAATGATGATTTTGAAACTAATGAACATTGTAATGAAATGAACAATGTAGGTGAACGTCCTATGGGAAGGAAGAAGGAAAAGATGAAGCAAAAACTCTCGGATGAGCGCAATCAATTTATTACCACAATGGAACAACAAACTGCACAATTAAAAAGAATGTTCGAACACAATCATGAGCTACTCCAAAAACAATATGAGCTTGATTTGTTTAAAGCTCAAAATAATGTAGCGAACAAAATAACATTGGGAAAAGAAAAAATGGCATTGGCAAAACGAAAAGAAGATAACAAAATCTTAAAAAATGAATTTAAATTTGATAGAAGATCCAGCTGTGCGTGAGTCGATTAGACGCCAACAACTACAAATTGTTGCAGAGAGAGTGGGAGTGGACTAGGAAATTATTAATTTTATTATATATTTTTTTCAAAATTGTGTTGTATTTTCTAATATTAATATTATGTCGTATATATTTTAATTTTTATTATGTTCTATTCATGTTTGATGTATGTCGTATGTATTTTAACTTTTATTATGTTCTAGTTATGTTTGATGTATTTGAAATTTTAATTAATATATATTCAATATTAGTCTTGTTTCGATTGCCTCAATGAGATCTTTAAAATGGTATAATTTTTATTTAATAATACAAATTTTAAATATAAGTATTTAACAAAATAAAAAATTACATATAAAACAAATAAATGATACATTTGGAATTATAAAAAGAAACAATGGCAAAAGGGTAATTTTTCTCTTCCTTTTTCATTTGCCGCGGATGAACAGTGCAACGCCATATTTGGCGCGGCACTGTTCATTAACGCCAAAAAGAATGGCGTTATGCCGCT